GATTTATACTATATATCATTCATTAGAATTTTGCCTATATTTTTACTTAGTTTTTTTTTAATCATAGTTATATTTATATTACATATGGATTTTAAAATAATGTTTTCATAGATTTTTTACAGATTATTCATACTGTTATTGTGCGATATTAATTGACTCTGATAATTTCATTCTTAGATATATAGTAATAATGGTCACCCATATTAACATTAAAGATTGTATTTAATTGTATTCTAAAAGAAAAAAGAAAAGAAAATTTAAAAAAAGGAAAATGTGGGGGTAAAAATATTGGCTATGAGAAAATATAATATCCTCGAAATGAAATCACAATACTTCTTATACTTTTTGAAAACAATTTCTCTGCGGTGCCTTTTGATTTGTCTGGACGAATGATCATGATTGATTGAACGACAGTTAGATCGCAAACTCGGCGTCTGTAATCATTCTTGTCGCACGAATCTTTCCATCTGCTCAAGAGCAAAGCTTCTCAAATTGTTTTATAAGATCAAGAGAATAATGGATTTGCAGTCGGAATTTCAGTAGCCACTTCAGCAGTGTCAATTGATGGTATTTGCGAAAAACCTTATTTGTGCTCGTGGTAAAAATTGTTGACAGAATGTGGGCGGCATGCATCGATCCTTGAAATGAAATCCCAAGATTTTTTGTTTGCTTTGCTTAGTGTTTTTGTATATTGTTTTGCTTCTTTTGTGTGTGTGTGTTGTTTGACTGGACATAATTAATTCAATAAAAACATTGATTAAGAACAAAACTGACTGTTATGGAAAGTAATGGAAATATGCCAAAAACCTGAGCAAGCCGGCAGAAAAAGCAGATTTTGCACACTATCATGAAAATTTTGACATATGGAAACCGAAGCTTGAGCAGATGGGCCAAAATCATTCTAAAAGCTATAAGTAGTTAGAGGATCATTTCATTTTGAATGTTAAGCAAACAATTGATAACTAAACTGTTATTGTACAAATGTCCTGATTACATGCATCACGGGACAAAAACCTCAAAATCTTGCAATACATGGGTTTGAATTGTAAATTATATTGTGTAGGGGTTGTCTGTGGGGTTCGGATTGAAGAGGAAGCAGTAGATCTTGTTTGGTCTATTTGCTGTTCTTTCTACGATTTGAGCTCCACGAGTAACCTCTTCCCAGTCTATAGACTGTTTGATTCCATCAGTAAACATTAATTTTTATCATAATACATTTTTTCTCTTTGTATTTGTATGTGTATCATTAGCAATTAATAGATTTATTATTCTATATTTAATTTTAGTATATGATGAATGTAGAGATACTTGTTGTGGTTTATCTATCTGTATTGTACATTTGATGATTAGACTACCATTGATACTGTTACAGTAGGCTGTAGAAAGTACATCATCTGTGTAACATGGAACCTATTGTGGTTTATCTATCTGTATTGTACATTGCATGGTTAGACTACCATTGATACTGTTACAGTAGGCTGTAGAAAGTACATCATCGGTGTAACATGGAACCTATTGTGGATTATCTATCTGTATTGTACATTAGATGGTTAGACTACCATTGATACTGTTACAGTAGGCTGTACAAAGTACATCATCTGTGTAACATGGAACCTATTGTGGTTTATATGGCTGTATTGTACATTGGATGGTTAGACTACCATTGGTACTGTTACAGTAGGCTGTAGAAAGTACATCATCTGTGTAACATGGAACATATTGTGGTTTAACTAGCTGTATTGTACATTGGATGGTTAGACTACCATATAGTACTGTTACAGTACGCTGCGCAAAGTACATCATCTATGGAACTTATTGTGGTTTATCTGGATAGTGAGTCGTGCATTTGATGGTCAGTCTGTTATCTTTAACATAACAACGCGAAAGCACGTCAGATGATTTCATGAATTTGCTCCATCCCCCGATGCCTCCTTTATTTTTAGTAAATACGCGTTTTGATTCATAGTAGACATCGTGACCTTCAGGTATTTGGCTAATCACAGTCAGCCTGTAAAAATAAAAAAATAAAAAAAATTGAAGCAATATAAACGAACTGTACTCAAAACTATATATTTCGTTTTTAATCACAGCACGAGCCTACCTGTAAGGGGTTGCTGATTCGTTGTTGGCTGTATTGGGTATATTGCTGCATAATGACTGTGAATCTTCTTCAACTCTCTTCAGATAGAGCGATAGGAAACCCATGGCGTCTGCATTGCGTCCATTTGGGTACAAATTTATGCGCCATTTATAACCACGCATCCATATCGCCACCCGGTAGAACTTTCGTGCGGGAGGATATGAATTGATGTTACTAAAGATCCCAGTTGATTTCTGAAGCTGCACAGAGAAAAATTTTTATCGAGCTGTTGAGACTGAATTGATGGTTTTCACGGCGGCCATGTTGGAGGAACTTAATAAAAGAATTGTCAATTCTCTACTTTCACATCCCCATAATCCTTTGCGTCTTTGAGGGTAACCAGAGGGTAAGTACCCACTTATTTTGCTGAAGGCTGATCAGACAATGTTGACAATACCTTGTTTAGTATCCAAAGATAAAATGAAGAAGTAAAAAACAGAAAAAGATAGAAGCTTGAAGACGTTTAAGGTAAATTTTAAACATTTTTTCGTAAGTCAATACATTTTCTGTTAAGACCAAAACTCTTGATGATCTGTACACGCAAAGATAACTTGGAATAAACTGATAATCAGTACTGTACAGATAAAAGCAGATATAGCATACATTCAATTAAGAAACCTTTCAATTTGGGACCGTTTTTTGATTGGTTACCCCCCAAAGACGCAAGGTATTATGGGGATGTGAAAGTAGAGAATGAACTCTTTTGTTATATCCTCCAACATGGCTGCCGTTTTTTTTTTTTTTTCTTTTCTTTTYTTTTTTTTTGTTATTTAATTCTCTTGGGAATGGTTGAAAACCATCAATATAAAACACAAATCTACCTACCTGTACATGATTTAATTTATCGCTCAAAAGCTGGTTTTCTTTAGTAAGCGAAGAACATTTTTTCCCCAGTAACATGATGTGTGCAGCCATGCTGTCTTGTACATGTTTATATACATCTTGTCGTTCAACTTGCGCTAAACATCCATGTTCCTCTAATGGACAACTGACAATTGCTTTAGCGCAGGTGTTGATCAGATGTTCTTCTAAGTCCGTCCTAGGAAGATAGATTAACCATAAACATTTACTTTTACTAGTGAATGGCCCTATTTCACTATGACGTCACTGCTTGTTAATGTGGGGGATAGAATCGCCAAATCCAATAGAAAATTCAACAAAATTTGCTCCTAGCGAAACAGTTTAATCTAAAATGGCCTGGTTTTCAGATATAATATGTGTTAATGTGTACTTAAAAATATCCTAAGCGTTTGCAGGCTATTGTACTTCTCTTGATACGGGTTTTAGAACAATTTTCGGTGAATTTGCGTTGATTTGACCCCGTCCGACGACCATGATCCTTTGCGTTTAAACAATAGATTGTTTTGATGTGACGTCATAATGAAATAGGGCAATTTACTAGCTAATTAAAGGTGAAGCGCTCATTCATCCCGTGCGGATTAACTGTGCTTTCGAATGGTGGAACGGCATGACTGAACGAGAAAATGAATTACAAGCCCGAGACACTCATTCATTCGCTTGGCACAGTTAATCCGCACGGGATGAATGAACGCTTCACCTTTAATTAGCCACTTCTCACCTACCATTATTATTTTCGATCCTTTTGTTCTCTTTTGTTTTACGACTTGCTATTTTCTTATTGCTTTGTTTTCTCCCTACACCACTATATAAACCCCTCCATCATTCTCTTTCTCTCATTTACTCCGACGAAGGACTAACGTCCGAAACGTCAGTCTATATATCTAATATAGCAACCATACCTTTTTATTTTGGTCACTGCACCATCTGTGCTGCAGTTATTTTTACAAGGAATCATAGCATTAGGACAGTCATTCTCTAGATGTTCTGGCAGTTTACATTCTACCACAAAGGATGTGCATTCCTTACATGCTACTCTTTTGTACTTGCATGCTTCTTTATGTTTTTCAAATCCTTTTCTTTTGATTTGCTGCTTGCAGTTTTCATATGTGCAGGATACTAGTTCAAAAGCACAAGTTTTTCTGTGGGTGGGAAGATCTTGTAGTTTGCCAGTCCAGCAACAGTTCTCCTCATCACCTTCATCGTCTATCCATATATGAAATATAATAGAATATATATTATCTTAATGATACATAACAATCAAGTGATCATTTCAGGGCTAGGAATTGAAGAGAATTGAACTGTTGTGCCACCTCATGCGATTCTGGTTTGAGTCTTGCTTGGATCAGTGTCAAGCTTGGTATCAAGCCTTGCTCAGCCCGATTTCTCGGGAGACACAATTATAGCTTTTTTGAGATAAATATACACAGCTAACGAAATGTAGGGTAATATTATCTAGAATTTCTCTTTTATATTCATTTCTTAAAAACCTATACAATGCGTTTACCATTCTGTGAAGACCTTAAAGTAGTCCTCTCACCATTAACTCAATATTTTCTTAGCATTAATTCTACATGAAGTGTATAGTTGAATGGTAGAATATTTTTCTGTGATTCGAGATTTAATCTTCCAATATGTTCATGACTGAGATGAGTGTGATGTCATAGGAGGCATTTGAATTTATTTGTCACCATTATAGTAAATTGAGACATTGATTACCTTGAAAAAAATGATTTGCAATAACCTTTCTATTCAGCCCTAGGAAGACAATGATATGTTATAAAGGAAGATTTAGTGCCTCACAAAAGTACTTTTGTATATTTAACAATAACTCCTATGACATCACACAAAGCCATTACCCACTTCTACTCACCTGTACTATTTTCTAGCCTGATTCTCTTATTTGCAGGACTCAATTCAGTATTCCCAATGCTTACTGGATGACAATAGACATCTAGATCATCTATGATTCCCTTGACAGTTAGGTTAGGCACAAGAGATTTTTTGTCCAGGTAGGTGTTGTCTGCTGGGCATCTCTCATTGCTTTGCAGCCACCTGTGGATACATTCTCTGCAAAAAGTATGACCTGCAGTGCAACTCATAAGTTCCTTGAAAACCTCATGGCTGCAAGAATATACAGAAAGCATAAATCAATATATGTCAACAGCACTTCCAAACTGCATAATCACAATGACAATCGCATAATGATAGATGTACAGCCCAGCTATTTATATTTGTTCCATTTGTTTGCCAGCAGGCAAGGAAATAGAAAAAGAGGCTGGCTAGGCTGGCACGCAGTACAGATTTAATTCAACTCTCAATAGCCCACTTCCGAGATATGCTTCGTTTGTCACGCACAAAGGTTTCAGTATGAGGCTATGTGCTAAATTAAATTTATTCCTACCGCCTGTCACGAATGACTGAGCATTTAGCACGTAACCTCATACTGAAACCTTTGTGCGTGACAAACGAAGCATATCTCGGAAGTGGGCTAATACCCATAGAAATGTCAATCAATGATGCTATTGAACTATCAGTCACCTGTGAGTCAAACAATATACCTGAAAATAATCTGATGTTGTTAAAGATATTAGACTAATACACATTAGTAGACCCTAATTCCATTGTTTTCTTTTGTGTCTATTTGACTATTACACGTTGACTAGTAGTTTTTATTTCACGGGTTAAATGCTTTCACTCTATTGTATTAAAGCACAAGTAACCTTGTTTGTATGCAATTGGACGGCGTAGTTTGGCTTTTCTTGTTCAGTCCAAGAGTTTAAAAAAAAAAAAATTAATATTAATAAAAATAAGAATAATAATATTGTAATATTTATAATGCGCTTATTCATTGCTGCTCTAAGCGCACAAAAGTGTAATACTAGAATAGACAAAGAACAGAGATACATTTACAAATCATATGCTTGTTTGAATAGATAGGTTTTTAGGGCTGTCTTGAAGGATGTTAGTGATGATTCTGATGTAATGGAAGGAGGAACAGAGTTCCACAGTTCAGGACCATGTACACGGAAAACGAACGATAACCATAAGGTTTTAGACGAAACTTTTGACGATTTTATTGAATGGAACATGAAGATCTTAGATTTCTTAGGGGTTTGTGTTGGGAAATCAAATCATAGATAGCATGGAGCCAGGTTATGTTGTGATTTAAATGTTATTAAGAGGATCTTGTATTTAATACTATCTTGTATTTAATTATATTGCCAGGTTATATTGTGATTTAAATGTTATTAAGAGGATCTTGTATTTAATACGGTGAGTCACAGGAAGCCAATGAAGCTGAATCAAAATTGGAGTTATTGCTTTCTTGATCGAGTAATCACACGAGCAGCAGCATTTTGAACAGATTGAAGTTTTGCAATGAGATAATCGATCCAGGTCCATTTAAATTTTAAATCCCAATCGACTCCATAAACGAACGCCTGATCTCTATCAAACAACGACATTTTCTTTGATTTTGGCTCACTTTATACTCACCATATAGAACATTGAATGTTTTGATCGAGTTTTTTGGAGAACTGCTCATGCTTGTATCCCATATCTGTTAAATTCGCCCTTCGAGTAGATCTGGTTGAAACTTACTGAGCGAACAGAATTTATATTTTGATTTTTGGCGGGAAACAAGAAACGTTGAGGGATTTCTGGGTAAACACCATCAGCCTTAGCGCACGGGCCAACCACAGGGAACCCAATTGAAATAAAAGTGCAAGACGAAAATGTTCTGTTATATCCGTGACAAAGTAAACTAAAAAAAAATGTACTATGGCAAGCCGATTGTAGCAAAATTCAATTCACTTATATTTATTCAATTCAATCTTAATTTATTTAATTCAATGTTTATATCCTTGTAAATTCAATCTCTCAACATACTTAACGGCAACAATGATTGTCGCAAGACCAAAGAAATGCGGCTTATTCACCTATTGGGCACTCTTAGTCCCAACGGGATTAATGAACGCTTTACTTTCAACTAACCTTTTCTTTCGTTTTTTTGATTGTTTCTTTTTGTTTCCTTGCCTACCTTGCTCTCATTGGTTTCTTTTGTCTTATTCTATCATATATACACTCCTTTCTCTTTTACTCCGACGAAGGACTAGCGTCCGAAACGTCAGTAAGTTTTTTCATCTTTTCACGGTGTATAATTTACCTTTTCATTATTACTGTTTCATTAGAAACACCGACGCAGCTCACACTAGTTTTTAGCTAGTTATATCTCTCAACATACACTCAATTCGATCAAAATATACACATATTCAATAAAAGACCTGGATTTCAATTCAATTAAATCCGAAGGTATAATCAATTCAATTTTAAAGTACATTCAACCCCACCAGAAGACTGAGACTATTCATAGTTGGGTGTCCTGTGGCAAAGGGTATATATGCGAGACTGGGCATTTCTTCGCCTTTAGTACATTTCGAGACCACTATACCAGACCAACAGCAAGGGAGGGGGAGGGGACTCGGTATGTGACACCTGTACCCCACCAGGTGACACGTTTTTATATTTGCGTTTTGATAATGAGTGGTTCGTGTCATTGTTTTACGTTACTCAACCGACAATTTGCTTTGAGCTCTAAAGCTACATCAATTGGATTTTACGTCGATGTAACGGCGGCGTTTAACGTCCACGGAAATTTATAAGGTTCGCGCGTCATTAAGAGGTTTCCCTTTGTTATTTATGTTCTCTTGCCTTTACCCATTTAAAAGAAGACAAACACATGGAACTCTATATATTTTCCCTCTTTTTTTTTTTTTTTTTTTTGTCCCTTGGAAAGATGGCCGCCGTATCGTCCAAGTAGTCCATTGGTACTGTTACAGTCATCCTCGGGAACCCACCGGGTCAGGGAGGGCATTAAGGGTTAGCGTCGGTTTCCCCCCACTGTGGGCGGGGATATGACGTCATCAGTCCTCGGGATGACATCACCGGCGACCGGCCCGTGTCTGAGGGCTCCCGAGGATGTGTTACAGTAGGCTGTAGAAAGTAAATCATCTGTGTAACATGGAACCTATTGTGGCTCATCTAACTGTATTATACATTTGAATGTTAGATTACCATTGGTATTGTTACAGTAGGCTGTAGAAAGTACATCATCTGTATAACATGGAACCTATTGTGGTTTATCTATCTGTATTGTACATTGGATGGTTAGACTACCATTGGTACTGTTACAGTAGGCTGTAGAAAGTACATCATCTGTGTAACATGGAACCTATTGTGGTTTATCTAACTGTATTGTACATTGGATGGTTAGACTACCATTGGTACTGTTACAGTAGGCTGTAGAAAGTACATCATCTGTGTAACATGGAACCTATTGTAGTTTAGTTGGGAGTATTGTACACTGGATGATTAATCTGCCATTGTTACAATAAGACGGCGAAAGCGCATCAGATGATTTCATCAATTTGTGTTTTCCCCTGTTGTTTCTTTCTTTAGTAAATACACGTATTGACTGATAGGAGACATCGTCGTCAGTACCAGGCTTTTGGCTAATGACAGTCAGTCTGGTTTAAAAAAATCAGCAATATAAATATTTTTTTATTCTTTTTTGATCACAACACAAGCTTACCTGTAAGGAATTGCTACTTCATTGTTGGATGTATTGGGCATAGTGTTGGTAAATGACTGTGAATCTTCTTCAACCTTCCGCAGATACAGTGATACGAATCCTGTGGCATCGGCAGCGCTGTTTCCATTTGGGTACAAACTAATGCACCATTTATACCCACGTAACCAGAAAGGTGGACTTCCGATACGAGAACCAATGGGGTTATTGGCCAGGTTAGGATAGTTGCGCACAACCCAGGTGTAGCTACTGTTTCCTAAGAGTTGGTTATGGAATTCCTCCTGTGAATATTTTTTCGAATATTAGTTCAATTCATCCTATAGCTGCAGTTGTAATATAAATGTTTATTACTAATAGACACTTTGGCAAAATGGCGGCCAAAAATTCGAATGAGTTAAAATTAAACTTAGTGAAAAACCAATACCAGCAGTGGAAAGAGTACCTTTACTTTAGTAACCCTTCACAGATTCATTATTATCAGGTGTTTTGTTGGCCGAGAAAACCTTAGTCAAACATTCACAAATTTACAGACGTTTGTATGTACCCCCTAGACATACAAACGTCTTTAAATTTGTCAATTTTCAACTTAACTTCTCGGCCTATATAACACCTGACATAATGAATCTTTATAGGGCTACTAAAGTGAAGTTGCTCTTTCCAGTGCTGGTATTGCTTTTTTTATTTAACTCATTTCAATTTTCGGCCGCCATTTTGGCAAAGGGTTTATTATTGCACCTATCAAAGTTTTGTTTTTGTTATTCATTGGGTTGTTATGTGCAACGTTGCATGCACCAAAGCAATGGCATAGTGTTCCCACCTCTGTACCTTTTGTGTGCAATGTTGTAGATTTAATTATGACTCCGTGTACTGGTTTTCACTTGGTCATAAACTGCTTCTGACTTTGACTTCGATTCCATCGCAAGAGAAAACAAGGCTTAAAAAGCAAACCGACCTACCTTTATATTTTTTAAGTCATTGCTTACAAGCTGGTTTCCTCTAGTAAGCACTGCACACTTTTCCCTCATTAACATCCTGTGATTATGGAATTCCTCCTGAGGATATTTTGAAAATATTAATTTTATTAAATTCATATATTCTTTGTTCACTTAAGTCTTTGTTCACTTTTTTCAAGCGTGACCATGCATAATCCTTTGTTTTACCATTGTTTTACCATTGTTGGCAATGGCTGAGTGAACGCTTTACGATTGTTTCGCCTACGCATTGGTTCGCCTACTGAAGTTAGCCTACGTATAAGTTTTCCTACTGAAGTTCGCCTACGTATCAAATGCAGTGTAAAACCTAAAAAATAAAAATCTATGAAGGGTGAGACAATAAATATACTGTAAAAAAGGAAAAAAAATAGTTCTCGTGTAAAGAATAAAACTTTTACATGTATATGAATAGCAAGGCAAACAAAGTAAGAGAAACACTGAAAACTGTAGACGCGAACGATTAACTGGTAAGCGTTGTGTGACAACATCGTAAACCAAGAAAAGTCGTGAAACCTATCTTAAACAAGGGTGACACAGTAAATATATGAAAAAAGGTCAAACAAAGCGACTGCTGTGGAGTAAAGTAAGAGAAACGTTACAAATGAGCCAAGAACGTCCGAGATGGGAACGAGTTGTGAACGATCGGTGTGACAACAAAAGCGTAAACGACTTGTCAAGTGAAAGTCGTAAACTCTCAGATTTCATGAAAAAATCTTTTTAAAAACACATTTTATCGCTAAGAATGTTTYTTATAAGTATGAAGGTGATTAATGACTCAAAACGTCTGAGATGCGAACGAGTTGTTTTGTGACAACAACAGCGTAACGCCATGTCAAAGTGAAAGCGGTAAACTATCAGATTTCATGAAAAAATCTTTGCTTACATTCACTTACCAAAATCTTTATTACTAATACATCTTACATCGCTAAGAATATTTTTATAAGTACGAGGGTGATTAAAATAAGAGAAACGTTACGAATGAGTCAAGAACTTCCGAGATGTGAATGAGTTGACAAGTTGTTACGCTGTTGTTGGGGTGTTGTTGTCACAACAGAACTCGTTCGCATCTCAGAAGTTTTGACTCACTCGTAACGTTTCTCTTTCTTTGATCACCTTCATACTTTATGAAAAATTCTTAACGACCAAAGATTTGTTTTTAAAATAAATATATTGATAAGTAAGCAAACATATTTTTTAATGGAATCTGATAGTTTAATGCTTTCACTTTGACAAGTACGTTGTTACGCTTTTGTTGTCACACATCTCCGAAGTTCTTGACTCACTCGTAACGTTTTCTCTTACTTTACTCGACGGCAGTCGCTTCGTTTTACTTTTTTTTATATATATTTACTGTGTCACACTTGTTTAAGATAGGCTTCACGACTTTTCTTATAAGTAGGCGAACTTTTTTCAATATTTTTCATGAATTTGATAGGTAGCATCTGATAGTTTGCCTTTTTGCTGTTGTTGTCACACTTCTGAAGTACTTGACTCGTTCGTATTAAACGTTTCTCTCGCTTATATCGTCTTCATACTTAAATAAATTTTCTTAGAGGTAAAAGATGTGTTCTTTTAATGAAGACTTTGGTAATCGGAGCAGATGAAATCTTAGTAACACTCTTGTTGTCACTCAACACTTTTCTGGCGTTCTTGATTACTACTCGCGATTTTTCTTTTGATTCTGAGTTTGCCTTGACATTTTCATAAACTTTCTTGAAGATAAAGATATGTCTGCCTTTTTGATCATTAAAGTTTTCCTCATTTTTCATCTAATCCTTCTACTTATGAATCAGTGCCAGTGTAATACTTAGGCGAACTTCAGTAGGAAAACTTATACGTAGGCGAACTTCAGTAGGCGAACCAATGCGTAGGCGAAACAATCGGATACCGAGTGAACAGACCAAAACCTTTCTTTTGGCTGGTAGTTCAAAATATTTAAAGCTTTATAAGAGATATTTGAATAGTCCTTACAACAATC